TCTTGCATTGTTGGCCCTCCATGACCACACAGAGGAAAGAAGGTCTGTCTTTAATGAACGTGTCTGAAACATGCAAAGATAAGCCTTCACCGTTCACCTGAATGAGGCTTTTAAACTCCTTTTGTAATGGCTCCAAAGAAATACTAGTGTCTATGAACACAGATGCATTGTGGATATCTCTGTACCATTTTATTGTTGTATTTCTTCCAGAATCTAGATTGCATACCAGATCCGCACCAGTTCTTGGGGTCAGAACAATCTCTTGTGAGGCCATCTCCGTGTTGCACACATACAGAGCGTGTGTTTGATAATTCTCCACAGAATCACCACTCCAGCACTCTCTAATGTAAACGCCTGAATCTGAGAATTGAAGATTTGAGATCTTCAGTCCGAGCAATCCTTCAACATCGTTGGAGATTTTGATCCGACCTTCAAAATCAACAGAAACTAAGGAACTGGAGGCTTGACCCAGTAACTCCTTTCCCTTAGAAGTCAGTTTGTACACAGCAATGTCATCTCCAAAGCAAAAACCCATCTCCAGTTCCTCACCAAGTGCTTTGAAAATCGGATCTGCGTTTTCTTCGGCGAGAGTACTCGCCAACAGAAGAGAAAGAAGCATCACAGCGTTCCTGGTTGGGATCATCCTGCTCTCCTTTGTCCATTCGTGAGTCTGAATACTGCCTGTTGCCTTTCACATACTGAGAAATTTGAGTAACCTGTTTCTGGAGTTTGGCAATAAGTTCCACCCACTCGTGATGTTGTCCTTCATAGGTGAAGGGATTTTTCAGGTGCAGTTTTTCTTGCTCTGCTTTCCTCATGCCAGTATACTCCCTTATAACCCAGAGCACATGGTTATCATTTATCTTTCCATTTAAGGTGCTTCTTTTAATCTTGTGTCGAACGTTTTATCTCATAAATCAAATGGAATCTTCAAACATTAGGCAATGTACAATCACTCTGTTGTACACACTCTCTCTTTAGGTTATATCTTGTGTGTATGTGTGTGTGTTTGAGTAACCACAATGTTAATGATGCATAGCTGAGAAAATATATAATAAGCCTTTTATGCTCATTAAGCCTGGATTTATTTGATTAAATATAAAGTGGAATTAATAATAAATTAAATACAGTTCTGTTGTGTTTACATATAAAGCAATTCAATCTGTTAGTTAATTTTTAGATAAAAGTGAAATAAGGAAGTGACTCTTTATTTGCAGAGAGTCACAGCTTCAGTCAACCATTTCAGCAATGCTCTGCTGAAACCTGAATGTTTGCATACAGGGGAAAACATTTGCAAAAGTCGCAACTCTTGTACAAACAGCAGCATACTACATTGCAATTTAATATGTGTATTGCAAAAAGCCTAAATTTATTACATGTATGATAAAGTGATAAACAATATTACAATAGTTAAACATATAATTATAATAAATCTGAATTTGTTATCAATATTCCACTCTACAGGTTTAATTAAACATATAGTCAAAATTATTAGCTCTCCTGTGAAATTTGTATTATTTTTGAAATTTCCCACATGGTGTTTAACAAACCAAGGAAATATTCACAGTATTTTCTATAATATTTTTAAAAGCATTAAAAAAAAAAAAATAAGGTCAATAATACATACTTATATCCGATAGTCTACAGAACAAACCATCGTTATACAATGACTTAGCTAATTACCCTAACTTGCCTATAATTTAATAATAATAATGTTGGAAAGAACTGTGTGTAGGTACAGTGTGTCCACAGTCATATTGACACAAAAAGTCTCCTTTTCTAATGATTAAAATTTTCTAATGTTAAAATAGGATCAAAATCCCCCCTATTTTAGGGTCCACTGCAACGTGATGTAGGAGTGCGGTATCCCCACCCACCGTTTTGATTGACAACTGCATATTAACATGTCTCCGTAGTAACACATACTAAATAATCATATCAACAAGACAGGACGTGCACAAAATGGCTGGGATTAAAAGATCTGTTCAGCTCTCTGTGATCATCAATCATCATCAAATGTGATCAAGAGGAAGTTAAAAACATTTAAAACATTATATTAAAGTGATTCTACCATCTTTACTTTATCACCACAGCCGCGTGTCAGTACAAATAAAAAAGAAGAGGCTTCAATCCCGGTTTGTGAATGTTAAATCAGGTTGAATTTGTATCCTGTCCCACTTAGCATGCAAAATAGTGCAAAGCTTAATGCGCGAGCTGTGTGTGTGCAAACTTTATAACAACATTCATTATAACAATGACTCATCGTTGCAGAAAGGCTTGAATTAACTCCACAACAAATACATCAAATGGTCATTGGGAAAGTTCTTACTGTAGTTTTTCTCACAAAAGTTACGTGAGATCCGCTTCCTTCATGTCTGTCACTGTGCTGTTTATCTGATGCAGTGAGCGGGGAGATCTAGCATTAAAGGCACGGGCCACAAAAACAGCTACATTGTGTTCAGAGCAGAAAATCCAATTTTCTGAAAGGTATAATGAATAATCTGATGGGTGTTTTGAGATAAAACTTTACAGACACATTCTGGAGACACAAAAGACTTATCTTAAATGTCGAAAAATGGGTAAAATAGCTGATTAATACCCTTTAAGCTGAATACTAGTTTCTTGCAAAATAACAAGTAAAATATTATGTACTGCCATCATCATGGTAAAGGCAAAAGAAATGAGTTATTAATACTTTACTAGTAATTATTATGTTCAAAAGTGTATTGAAAACAAATATATTGAGGCAGGCTGTTTTGCCCATAATAGTTTTACATCATTATTATTAATATGCAAAATATATACAATAACACAAATTCTATTTTACCTATCAGTTAAATTTGTCTGTGGCGACCCCTGATAAATCAGTAACAAAGCTGAAGAAATAAATAAATGTAACCAGTATTCCCCCAAAATAAAGTTTCAGAGATGTCTAGAAGACTTCATTCATTCATTCGTTTATTCATTTTCCTTCGGCTTAGTCCCTTTATTTATCAGGGGTCGCTTATCCAGCATATGTTTTACACAGCGGATGCCCTTCCAGTTGTAACCTAAGACTGGGAAACACCCACACACTCTTACATGCATACATATACGACCAATATAGTTTACTTAATTCACCTATAATGCATGTCTTTGGACTGTGGGGGAAACCAGAGCACCCGGAAAAAAACCCTCACATACATGGGGAGAACATGCAAACTCCACACTGAAATGCCAACTGACCCAGCCAGGACCCGAACCAGCGACCTTCTTGCTGTGAGGCGACAGGGCTGAGCCATCAAGTCGCCCCTCGTTCTATTAATATCATCCTATCATTTAAATTTGTCTGTGGCGACCCCTGATAAATCAGTAACAAAGCCAGGGCCGGAGTGGGACTCCTTTTCAGCCCTGGAGTTTCAAGCCTTAGACTGGCCCACCTCAGTGCAATACCTGAATATAAATTCTGTGCTAAATCCTTTATAGATATCCAGTCTTTTGTAACAGTGGTCGCTCATAAAATTTAAATAAAACATGTAGGCTACACCTACATAAGTAACCCAAAACAGAATTACATGTCGTAACAATAAAACTGAAAAAAATTAAATTTCTCAGGCCAGGTTTGAACTCGGGTCGGCGGCGTCGTAACGCAATGTGCTGACTACTGTTTCGTGAGATTTATTAATGTAGTGAAACATCTGATTTTCAATGAGCAAGTGTAATATTCATTAATATTAATTATTTTAATTCTTATATTCACTAAGGTGCTGCTATTTGGGGTCAGATGATACATCATCATTAACCTGCAGGCTGCATTTTGCTCACAGGCTGCGTGAAAATAAATGAAAAGAGCGGAGCTGTGGCGAAACAATGAATAAAAAGAGTAAGGCTATAGTCAAATAAATAAATAAATGAAAAAAGTGTGACTGCTGAGAGTGCAAGCAGCTAGGGACACCGGCCCTCGCGGCCAAAAAACGGACCTGTCCCTCGGGAATTCTCTCGGTTCTCCCGATTAGCCAATCCGGGCCTGAACAAAGCCGGAGAAATATGAATGAATGTAACCAGTATTCCCCCCAAAAAAGTTTCAGAGATGTCTAGAACAGTGGTTCTCAAATTTTTTTCATCAAGTACCACCTCAGAAAAAAACTGTCTCTCCAAGTACCACCAAAATTAGCAGTATTGAAATACAGTAGCGTAGTAGGCCCAGTAAAGCAGCTACAACTTTGCAAAGTTAAAAAACGTTGCAGATTACCTCGGATATATAGGCTATATTTCATATATAGCAGACTATATACATCATTTTTGATAAATTTTGAAATGTGTATAGCATGTACAAGGCATATTTCATTCCTCCGTGTACCACTAGAAGGAAGCCTGTGTACCACTAGTGGTACACGTACCACAGTTTGAGAACCACTGGTCAAGAAGATTTCAACACCCTTTATTTAAAATAAAAAAGTTTTTAGTTTTCAAACAAAGAACAATGGCTGTTTTAAGCTGTGTCTTGTACAGGTAGCTCATACATGTAGTCATTGGGGGCTGATCTGTGAAGGCAGATCTCTGTGTGAGTCTCCAGATTGTGGAGTCCTCGAGGGTGGGCTGAGCGAACAGTTTGAGGAGGCAGGAATGATCCAGCATTGTGATTAAACTCCAACTGTGACTCACTATCCACTGCCCTTCAAACTAATTGCTCTCTGTGCTCATTATAGAAACCACAGCCGTTTTAAGGTACTTCATTTGTTTTCATGTGGTTAAAAGACAGTCCCCATGTAGTTTCAGTCAAAAATAGCCAGCAGAATGTTAACTCTTTGCTTGGAATATTTTGGATGCCATTCATACATGTTCATATTGTATTAAAGCCAGTTTTACGGTTTTAAGTAAGCGAGTGGTCATATCTTATTTCCTGCAGCATTATTTCCTTCTCAAAATCTGTAAATCTGAAAAGTTTCATCCTGTACGGAGAGTGGCGCTGTTTTGCTCGGACTGCATGGCTGTCATCACAAGAACAAGAAGGTGTCGTTGTTATGTCTACAGTCTCGTGTTACGTGACCGCTGTAACTGCAGAGGACAGGTATTGGTCAGTTTGTCTTATTAATATGTGTCAGTTATGATATTATTACCGACTAATAAATGCAAGCAGCTGCAAGAAACGTGCTGTTACTTATAGCGATGTCACGTCTTCTGTTTTGAAAAAGAACCAACTCCCCTTATGGGGTCTCATCAGGTTGACATAACGTTACTGTACATTAACATTGTTAGAAGTGTGTACGGTATGCGAGAGAGAGACAGACCTTCGAACTTCTTCTAATTAGAAAAACAATTATACATTCATATCATTACACGATCCAGATAAAAATCACTCTCTCCTCTTTAAAACAATATTAAACCCTCCTTCTTCACTGGGTTGACATAGTATGTTTTCAAATCCCCACAAAAAAAAAAAAAAAAAAAATTCATAATACTTATACTACATCATTAAACTACTTTTAACCAGAGCTTTAAACATTTGTAAGGGATCAGTGCCTCCACTTAGCATTGCTTTATTCTTTCTTGTTAGCCAAATGATCGTTTTAGCTTTTCCAAACAAGAAATTTATCAAAACTATTTTGTTTTTATTTAGTGCTGAAACCTTTCTTAAATTTTTGTATTAGTAATATCCACTGCCAATCATTTAATTTGGAGAGACGTTCTAAAATGCTTAACGTGAAAAAAGTTTTAACATGACTTAATGTACCTACACATTAACCAGAGAAACCCAAATTCTGTCAAACTTTACTTGTAATTAACCCAGCTACTTAAAGTATGAGTCCCAATTTCACATATAGAGTGAAAAACATCACGCTAAGCGTTTTCTTCCCATTGAAGTCTATCATTAGAAAAAACCTTAACGTGGCTTAATGTACCTTTACAACAAGCGTGGAAAATCACATTTTTATCTAATTTTACTCATGACAAACTTTCTGATGTAAAAAGAATGAGCTGTAATTTTAGTGAATGAAAATTTTCTCATAGGGCTGTTCGATTATAGGAAAAATCATAATCACGATTATTTTGGTCATAATTGTTACCACAATTATTCAAAACGATTATCAGTTGAAGTCAAAATTATTTGCCCTTCAGTGAAATTTTTTTTTGTAATAAATATTTTCCAAATGATGTTTAACAGAGCAAGGAATTTTCACAGTATTTTCCATAATATTTCTTCTGGAGAAAGTCGTATTTGTTTTAATATTGGAATAAAAGCAGGTTTAAATATTTTTAAACCTATTTTAAGGTCAATATTATTAGCCCCCCTTAATCAATATATATTTTAAATTGTCTGTAGAGGAAACCACTGTTATACAATGACTTGCCAAATTACACTAATCAGGGCTTTGAATCACACTTTAATCTAAATGCTTGTATTTTGAAAAATATCTAGTAAATATTATTTACTGTCATCATGGCAAAGATGAAAGAAATCAGTTATTAGAAATTAGTAATTAAAACTATTATGTATAGAAATGTGTTAAAATAAGTTTTTTCTTTCTTTTAAACAGAAATTGGGGGGGAAAGGGTTGCTAACAATTCAGGAGGGCAAATATAGTTATTTTCCTCTTTGCAAATAAGGGAAATAAATACAATAGAATGAAAATATGAAACAAACTGTGCTTTAAGCATCTTCACTGTAAATTGAGGGATTTTGTCCTTTTGTTGTTTGTTTAATGATAAAAACAGTCGGCAGCAAGGAATATTGCGCGCTGTCAATTTAAGAGCAGTACGGTTCTGATTAATAGTTTCTCTTTCACGCCTTTTAATTCCAAACTCGTTTGCTTATTACACAAATGAGGGTTAATATGAATAATCACGAAACACCGCGTTTTGACAGCTATTTGACCATTAGAGTCTAACTTTAAGATGACTTTAGATGTGTGTGCTCTGCTCGTCTCTGAGGCTGAGCGCATACACACAACAGCATGCGATCTCTTTCAGCATGCGATCTCATGCTTTTAAAAACACGATTGATTCGAATGTACATCAATGAATGACGCACATTCCGTGCTGTAAGTTACATTACGATACATGCTTTTAGTAATGTTTATGTGAAACTGAGCTTTGCAGAGCAACAAATGTATACAAATAGAAAGGGGGCGGTATATGATGCAACAAACTTGTTATCTCGATTAAGGTTTTTTCATAGTCGTTGAAGCCAAAATCGAAAATGAATTTTCGATTAATTGTGCAGCCCAATTTTCATCTTATGCATTTTTAGTCCATTATAAAAGGAAAAAGCTTAACATGGCTTAACGTACCTCAACAAGTGGGGCACACCAAAATATGCTCATAAACACTTTCTGCTGTTAAAAGAACAAGCTTGTAATTTAGTGTATCAAATGAATAATATCACTTTAAGTATTCTCGCCATAGAAGTCCATTATAAGGAAACTGAACGTGGCTGAACATACCTTAACACCGGCCAGGAAAACACAAATTTCTGTCAAACTTTGCTTGTGATTAACACTGACTATTATCAAAAGAACGCGCCCTAATTCCATAGATAAAGTGAACAATATCATGTTAAGCATTTTCTTAAGGTTACTCTACTACAACTAAAGAAACCAAATGTTAAAAAGGCTGGTCATAAAACCACTTTTTATTTTTGATAGGTTAACCCTTGCTGTCAAAAGAATGTGCTTGTAAATGCCATTGACATCTCCACAACAACACACAGTAGGGGAAAACACTTAACACAATACTGTTCAATTTAGCTGTGGAAACGGGGCTCATTTTGCTAGTAGTTTGTGCTAATCACATGTAATATTTGATAAAAATTTGATTTTCACGGCTTCTTGTTAAGGTACATTAAGCCACGTTATGCCTTTTCTTTATAATAGACTTCAATGGGGGAGAAAACGCTTAGCGTGATGTTTTTCAATCTATCTATCTATGGAATTGGGAGTCGTTCTTTTTAAAGTAGTTAAAGTAGTTCTTTTTAAATTAGTTTGACAGAAATTTGGGATCCTTTAGTTGATGTTTAGGTACATTAAGCCACGTTAAGCTTTTTTCACGTTAAGCGTTTAAGAATGAAGAACTTTAAATTAAAGGCGATTTTTCTCAAGATTTTGTTATCTAAAGGATTTTAAATAGTTGTGTATATAATAAATATTGTACTATCCTAAAAACAAAAAAAATGACAATAAATGCATTTGTTTTGTTAAATAATAAAGCAACGATTTGCTGAACAAACACGTGGACCCCTCAGTACAAGATGAGTAGGCATGGGCCAGTATACGGTATAGGTTTCTAATGTTATGATAACCTTGAATAAAAATATCACCGTTTCATGGTGTCATGGTGTTGTGATTACAGTAATAGCTCTAAAGTAAGTTCTTTTTAAAAGTTCTGGATAAAAAAACAAAAAACTTTTATATTTCCACCTAAAACTAAAACTAGAAATGCACCATCATATAGATTGCCTCAATAGTCCAAAAAAAACATTTAAAAAATATTTTATTGTCTTTCATGCCTGAAAGACCCAAAACGGAACACGAGGGTTAATACTGTCATCTCTCAAATGTCATTCGAGAACTATTGGGACTTTCTGAGCCCTTAAGGCATCTAGTGTTTTTCTTTTCAATCTCAAGAAAAATATGTCATGATCTCATTATAAAGAAACAGTCTAACTGCACCTTTTCATTTTCTGTTTGGGTACATAAGTGTTGTTGCGTGACTTCCCAGTTTTCTCCAAAGCTAATATCTGGTTAGGAAATTAGTTTAAAAGTGTTGGTGTGAAATAACATCTGACATTTGGCAGAAATCAACTGTCTAGACTAGTAGATCTTTCTTAATCCTGTGGGTAGACATTTAGGGTCTATAAATACTAATTTTGCACTATAAAAAATATTTATAAATTAGCATTTTTCTTTGTATTTTGTAATTCATATTTTAAATGAAAAATTTTCTTTACATTTGAACCTTAAAAAGTTACTTTTATTAACATTTTAAAAGTTTAAAGTGATATATTGCATGGGTTCTTGTTGTATATTATGGTACAAAAACCTTGCAATAAACTGCCAGTACAATTTCTGTTATTTTACCAACATACACTCACCGGCCACTTTATTAGGTTTATGCATGTAGACATGGTCAACACGATCTGCTGCAGTTCAAACCTAGCACTAGAATGAGGAAGAAGGTGATTTAAGTGACTTTGAACGTGGCATGGTTGTTGATGCCAGATGGGCTGGTCTGCGTATTTCAGAAACTGCTGATTTACTGGGATTTCCATGCACAACCATCTCTAGGGTTTACAGAGAATGGTTCGAAAAAGAGAAAATATCCAGTGAGCCTTGTTGATGCCAGAGGTCAGAGGAGAATGGCCAGACTGGTTTGAGCTGATAAAAAGGCTAGGCTACAGTAACTCAAATAACCACTTTTTTTTTCAACTGAGATATGCAAAAGAGAATCTCTGAATGCACAACACTCCAACCTTGAGGCAGATGGGCTACAGCAGCCGAAGACCACACGGGGTGCCACTCCTGTCAGCTAAGAACAGGAAACTGAGGCCACAATTCACACAGGCTCTCCAAAATTGGACAATAGAAGATTGGAAAAACGTTGCCTGGTCTGATAAATTTTGATTTCTGCTGCCACATACAGTAGGGTCAGAATTTGGCATCAACACCATGAAAGCAAGGATCCATCCTGCCTTGTATCAACAGATCAGGTTGGTGGTGGTGTAATGGTGTAGGGGATATTTTCTTGGCACACTTTGGGACCATTAGTATCAAATGAGGATTGTGTCAACGCCACAGCCTACATGAGTATTGTTGCTGACCATGTCCATCCCTTTCTGACCACAGTGTACCCATCTTCTGATGACTACTTCCAGCAGGGTAACGTGCCATGTCATGAAACGTGAATCATCTGAGACTGGTTTCTTGAACATGACAATGAGTTCACTGTACTCAAATGACCTCCACAGTCACCAGAACTCAATCCAATAGAGCACCTGCGGGATGTGGTGGAACAGGAGATTCGCATCACAGATGTGCAGCTAACAAATCTGCAGCAACTATGTGATGCTATCATGTCAATATGGACCAAAATCTCTGAAGAATACTTCCAGTACCTTGTTGAACATATGCCACGAAAGATTAAGGCAGTTCTGAAGGCAAAAGGGGGTCCAACCAGTACCAGTAAGGTGTACCTAATAAAGTGGCCGGTGAGTGTATGCTTCTATATTATTTCAAACTTCTAAAATGTCAATAAAAGTCACTTTGGTAAACTGTAGCGTTGATTTTTCAACATCAGAATTCAACAGAGCAGAGATCAAGGTCCCATTATGCAATTCAAACCCATAAATAAACAAAATACAGAAACTTAATTAAGATATTTATTACAGTGTATTACAGTTCACTCAAATGTTTGCACATGATATTAGCCTTGCGTGAGAATGAGAAAGCGTTCCATTAAAATAGCATAGGAGTTGATGTGTATTTCAAATTTTTGATGTACATGTGTTTTTCCTGTTGTTTCAGGCACATGCACGCAATGCACAGGATTTCCCAACAGCCCTACCCATATACCTGTAGGTTGTGCAAACATGCTGCGATTAGTCACGACATCAATCTGTCTGTACTGCCAACGGGCTCAAGTAACACCTCTACTTCTCCAGAGGACGTGCTCCTCAGTTACTCAAGAAGAAAACCCGTTGGTCATAGACGCCTTGTACGACTTGTCTGTAGACATCAGTAAAGTCCGAAAGCTGAAAGGTTGGGTTTTGCGACAGAAACCCGTTTATGTAAATGAAACTGTCACACTACTGAGGGACATTGGTGCAAACGAGACTGTAATCGCCCGTGTTTTGGAGCTCCATCCTGAAGCCATTCTCTGCAAACCCGAGCAAATGGAGTTGCAGAAGCAGCTCTGGATGTCAGTGTGCGCCAACAATAAAGATCTAGTGGGAATCGTCGAAAAATTCCCAGCCTCGTTTTTCACCTCTTCCTCAAATCACGATAACCAGAAAGCCAACATTGAGTATTTCCAGACTCTGCATCTCAACAAGCGCATTATCAGCAAACTCATGGCCAGCGCTCCTCAGAGCTTCAGCCGACCCATGAAGCAGAACCAGGAGATGATCCAGACTCTTCAGAAGACCTTTTTGGACTTGGGTGGAAACGAGGACAATATGAAGGTCTGGTTGCAGAAGCTCCTCACTCAAAATCCCTATGTGCTTCTAAAGCCCTCGGATGCCTTGTGTGATAACTTGACGTTCCTACATAACAGAGGCTTCACAAGCGGTGAACTTCTCCATCTGCTTTCCAAACTGCGGGGATTTGTTACTGAGCTAAATCCTGAAAGCATGAGGCTTACGCTCAGCTACTCTCAGGAGATGTTCAGATGCACTGAAGATGAGCTTAGGCGGATTGTTCTTCAGTGTCCAGCCTTGTTGTACTACTCCGTACCTATATTAGCTGATCGCTTCAAAGGGCTTCTCAGCGCTGGAGTGAGTGTGGAGCAGATCACAGAGACTCCTACAGTGCTGGAGCTGACAACGCAGATAGTCCAGTTTCGCATTCTGAAACTGCGCTCTTATGGCTATGATGTATGTTCAGGGAGCCTGGACGTGCTCAATGGCACCAAGAAGGACTTTGAGATGAGCTACGGGAAGCTGCGTCTTAGGCGAGAAAGGCCAATTTTTAATCCAGTAGCTCCCCTTCGAACTGAAGATTAAGCATGGAAGTCTGTTTTTGAGTTAATTCTGACATTATTTATTGCAGTTTCAAGTTTATGTCGAAAAAATTTTGATTGAACCAAGTTAATACCACAATTCTGAGTTTATCTTTTGCAGTTCTACATTGTGCAATTTTTAGATAACACGATTTTATTTTCTCAGAGTAGATTTCTGCTCGAATCCAATTCTATTTTTGTACCCCTTCCCCATGGCCCTTCAAACAGAGTGTGAAGGGGAAGGGCTTCAAATTTTACCCTTAAGAAATGGGACAGTACCTGCACGTGTCATCATCGTGAGCTCTTGCTTCATATGAAATCAGACGATCGCGACTGCTTTAGTTTATCCAGCTGCTTTATTATTTGGTATTTATCTTCAGGAAATCACTGAAGGCATATATAATGTTATCATTACGATCTAATGTGGCAATAAGCTCGTAACTGCACTGTGCATTCACACTGTGGCCATATTCATTATGTACACGCACAAAAAGACTGTAAAAAGGTCATTCCCAGCCACTAGACTTTTCTGACAGGGTATTCGAGTGTCAGAATGTGTGTGCTACAATAGTTATTAAAAGAGATTATAGTGAAATTTAGCGTTTTTTTATTTTTATTTTATTTTTTTAAAGCATGACGATAAAACACGAGCACGGCTATGAATATATTAAAACATGATTGTTTGTTGTAAAAATTTGTAATAATGACAAAAAAATACTAATTTGTGCATCTCCTTACTTTTTAGTGCAGCTATGCTGCCGTTGTAGATGGTGTATTCTGGGAAATTTTTTTACCCCTTGTTTTCGAGTGTGGTCCTGAAAAATCTCTTTTTCGAAGGGCTATCTACCCCTTCCCCTTAGCCCTATGCCTTCAAGATAAAGAGAATTGGGACACCCCTACCCCTTCACGTGAACGCGCAAAACGAGGGGTAAGGGGAAGGGCTAAGTGGTAGAATGGGGTTTATGCCAAAGTATGCGAATATGACTTTTAATTGGCCAGTAACCTGGGTTAATCGCTTCAGGTAAATTGCAATTGCAAAAATCAGTGATCTCCACTGGCTGAGTTATATCCAATATAAAGTGGGTCTCAGATTGTACAAGAATCACCGCATTAAATTACATTTTTCCCCGCCATGTATTTATAATATAAGCATTCATTTTACCCTAGTATATTCAATGGAGCATCTGCGCTAGCTTGTCGATTCTGACTGGCGCGTGTGAGTAAATGGCTTTTTGTCTTGTGTTACGCTTAAGCAACTAAATGAATGCCAAAGTCTATTTAACTGATTGTATTTTAATGACATTACAACATCGATGCTGTGATAGAAACTGTATAAAATGCAAAAAAAAAAAACCCTCACAATAGTTGGTCACCGGAAGTTTATCAGTATGGGAACAACACTAGCTCGGCATATACTGTACCCTATTGGGATTGAGCCTTCCTTTACTACGTTACTTAGTAACGTTGTCAAAATAATCCATTCATCTTGTCCAGTTGAGGTTCGTTTAATTTTGTAACGAAACACTGTAAAAAGTGCTGGGTTCCACACAATTTCTTCATGTTGTCCCAACACAAATCGATTAAGTTAACTTTATAATTTTTACAAGTGGATTGATTATAAAACAATTAAATTGTCCCCAAAATTAGGAATTGTGTTATTTCAACTATTTTTAAATAAGTATTTGAAACGAGCAGATAAGGTCATTTTTAAGTGCACTGTGCAACTGCGCACATACAGTTGAAGTCAGAATTATTAGCCCCCCTGAATTATTAGACTGTTTGTTTATTTTTTCCCTAATTTCTTCAAAAGAAAATATAGCTTAAAGGGGCTAATAATTTTGTCTCTACAATAGTGTTTAAAAAAATTAAAAACTGCTTTTATTCTAGCCGAAATGAAACAAATAAGACTTTCTCCAGAAGAAAAAATATTATCAGAGATACTGTGGAAATTTCTTTGCTCTGTTAAACATCATTTAGGAAATATTTAAAAAAGAAAAAAAATCAAAGTGGGGCTAATAATTGACTTCAACTGTATGTTCCAGTTGTACATAATCGTAATTTTGGTTTTTAAGTACTAAGGGCAAAGTGTACATGCACATCATTTTACAATTTAAACAATTTTGTGGGGGTTTTTGTTTACATAAAACTATAACAGTATTGTCAAAAGCTTTTTTTGAAGTTTTTTGAAGTCAGAATTATTAGCCCCCCTTAATTTTATTTATTTTTTCTTTTAAATATTTCCCAAAGATGTTTAACAGAGCAAGGAAATTTTCACAGTATGTCTGAAAATATTTTTTCTTTTGGAAAAAGTCTTAATTGTTTTATTTTGGCTAGAATAAAAGCATTTTTTTTAACGCCATTTTAGGGTCAAAATTATTAGCCCCTTTAAGTTATATTTTTTTTCAATAGTCTACAGAACAAACCATCATTATACAATAACTTGCCTAATAACCCTAACCTACGTAGTTAACCTAATAAACATGGTTAAGCCTTTAAAACCTGTACAGAAGTGTCTTAAAAAATTTCTAGTCAAATATTATTTACTGTCCTCATGGCAAAGATAAAATAAATCAGTTATTAGAAATGAGTTATTAAAACTATTATGTTTAGAAATGTGTTGAAAAAAATCTGCTTTCTGTTAAACAGAAATTGGGAAAAAATAATAATTCTGACTTCAACTATATATAAAATGTTTTTTTTTATTGATATAAAAAAGTTAACACACAATTATTAAACCCAGTTCTAGCTAAAATATCACAACATTTCCAAAATTCAGTGAAATTGTAACACTATTTTCTCCCTACATTTAGATCTTGCAATTCTGCCACAGAATCTCAGTTGAGAACAAAACTAAGTTTGTGAAATGTAACAGAATTGTAAGAAAGAAAATCACAGTTGTGTTTATGACACAATACTTTGTTTCTTGCAATTAGAGTTTGTAGCTCACACATGAAAGACAAATGCCAGAATTACAAGAAATTTAATCTGTAATATGATATCTGTTTCGAGAAAGTGAGAATAAGGCCAAAGGCAGTTTAGATTCCACAATTTTGCACAAAAAACAAATCTCACTTTAACATTAAGAAAGGAATGCATCTCACAGTTAAGAGCAAAAAGTGATGTTAATTTAAAAAGGTGTTCAGATTTTATTTTATTCCACTGGTAAATTTGACGTTTTTATTTTACATTTAAAAAAATCAGCACCGGAAGATGTAAATTATTTGGAATAAAGTCAGAAGTGTGAGATAGGCTTCTGTAAGTTGAATATTAACAGCAGTTTTCTTATTTACTGTATTATTAATCTGCTGAAAACAATAAATGATTGCCTGTTTTGTTCATGTTGCGGAAGGTCTTTCTTGCAAAAAACAAAACAAAAACGCACTGTGTTGAAAATATGATGTTTGAAAGTTACATTTCTTTAACTCCAAATATATTTGTGCCATTGTGAGTCATCAGTTGTATTATGAGTCATCAGTTTATATAACCTTTAATATTTCTCATCAAAGTTTCTAATAATGAACAATATCACACAACTCCGGGAGGTATGCATTATGCAGATAAATATTCAGATCAATGAACGGTTGCCCGCTTGTTGCCGTCAGAATCTCATTTGCAAGCATTTCCCAATATTTTGGCCTCTGGGCAGGGTTTCAAGATAATTTTGTGCTTTCTAATGATTAGACTAAAGCTTTACTGCTATCTATAATGAAGTTCTATATTACATATTGCCTCGTGGCATGTACTGTTTACGCGGTGGTGGACTTTATGATTTCTTTAATGGAAACTAAAGCTGCTCTGCATGTGGAATCAAAACAATGATGTTTCTGAACTTGATTAGAGCTGATCGTTTAATTTATGCATTACCTTTTTGTCCAGGTTTCATTAATATTTATTGCCGTTCTGATTTCTCCACATCTCTAAATTCCCGCTCTCTCTTTTGTTCTCCATTTTCTGTCCACTGGCCGGATGGCTGCTTTATCCCGCAGATGGCACTTTGAGTTATACCCCAATGCATAGGAGGTTAATAAGCAAGGATATAAATAGCTCTTTTCCATTCGCAATGTGACAGTGGGTATTATTAGAAAATGTTACACATTGATTTTATGAGGCATAACTCAGGGAAATTATGAAAATAGACGACACGTGCAATTAACGTCTCTAATTTCCTGCCATGGACTTTGCATGCTGGGATATGAGGGTGGTAAATATTCCTTGTGTGAGATGAAGCGCTGCTGTCCACTGTGAAATCTGCTCTCAGATCTGCTCATCACAGCTGTGGAAGCACTTATAAGATGTACAGTATGCAGTCATGAGAGGGTTTTTATTGATAGCAGTGTGGACATTTTGCATTAAACAGACACACGGGTTCATAAAAATGAATATAGTGATGTAATAATGAGGTAATATGACATTGTATTCTGTTTGTGCCGTATAATATAATAAAATTCCTTATTTAAAGTTCAAGAATCTTATTTTAGCTCAAATTATACTGTACATACACTCACCGGCCACTTTATTAGGTACACTTACCGGTACTGGATTGGACACACTTTTGCCCTCAGAACTGCCTTAATTCTTCATGGCATAGTTTCAACAAGGTGCTGGAAATATTCCTCATAGATTTTGGTCCATATTGACATGATAGCATCATGCAGTTGCTGCAGATTTTTCTTTTTGCAGATGATGCGAATCTCCTTTTTCACCACATCCTTTTGGATTGAGATCTGGTCATTGTGGAGGCAATTTGAATACAGTGAACTCATTGTCATGTTTAAGAAACCAGTGTGAGATGATTTGCGCTTTATGACATGGTGCGTTATCCTGCTGAAAGTAGCCATCAGAAGATGGGCACACTGTGGTGAGAAAGGGATAGACATGGTCAGCAACAATACTCAGGTAGGCTGTGGCGTTGACACGATGCTCAATTGATACTAATGCGCCCAAAGTGTACCAAGAATAAATCCCCCACACCATTAAACAACCACCACCAACCTGAAACATAGATACAAGGCAGGATGGATCCATGCTTTCATGGTGTTCATGCCAAATTCTGACCCTACCATCTGAAAGTCGCAGCAGAAATGGAGACTCATCAGACCTGGCAAGGTTTTTCTGATCTATTGACCAATTTTGGTGAGCCTGTGTGAATTGTAGCCTCGGTTTCCTGTTCTTGGCTGACAAGAGTGGCTCCCGGTGTGGTCTTCTGCTACTATAGCCCATCCGCTTCAAGGTTGGACATGTTACATGTTGTGCATTCAGAGACGCTCTTCTGAATCTCGGTAGCAACGAGTGTTTATTTGAGTTACTGTTGCCTTTCTATCAGCTGGAACCAGTCTGGCCATTCTCCTTTGACCTCTGGCATCAACAAGGCATTTGCGCCCCCAGAACTGCCGCTCACTAGATAATTTCTCTTTTTCAGACCATGCTCTGTAAACCCTAGATATGGTTGGGCTTGAAAATCCCAGTAGAGCAACAATTTCTGAAATACTCAGACCAGCCTGTCTGGCAACAACAACCATGCCACGTCACTTAAATCACATTTCTTCCCCATTCTGATGCTCAGTTTAAACTGCAGCAGATCGTCTAGATCAGTGGTTCTCAAACTTTTTTCACCAAGTACCACCTTAGAAAAAAATTGTCTCTCCAAGTACCACCTTACGACGCTATTTTTTAACCAGTATTAAAAAAATAGCGTCATAGGCCTAATTAAGCAGCTACAGGTGTGCACGGTTTAAAAACGATGCAGATTAATTCCTATTATTAAGAATATGTATTATTATCATTCACTTTAAACATTTGAAATAGTCTGAACATTAACTGTGCTTGCAGATTAAAAAAAAAAGTTTTTGTTAAAATGTGCTTTTAAAAGTTCATTAAAAATGGCGCTGTTCTTAAAAAGTAAAAAGAAAACTGCTGTACTTAAATCTAAAGCATTCATTGTAGCCTATTCATCAAAAGCTGGAGATGTTGCTTTTACCTTATAAATATAGGCTATATGTCACATTCCTACACTTTCAGACAAATCTTGAAATATATGTTAAATGTACATGACAGGGTTCATACAGGCACAGCCTAATGAAAATCAATTCCAGCACCTATATTTTTTTTCAAGACTGACATGTATTGAAGACCTGAAAAGTATTCTCAGCAACCCATAAAACATTGCATAGGAATAGATACAAATAAAAAACATAAAAAATAATATTTATTAATCATATATTAATAATATAATAAACCTGCACTAAATGCTTGTGAAATCTTTTTTGTACTAAAGAAAAATACTATTACACTGCTAAAATAACACAAATTTTAGTAAATAATATTAATATTAGGTAAAAGTACAAAGTACTCTTTTAAAAAGTACTAGTTGGTTACTTTTGAAAAAATAAATCTGATTTTCATTATGAAATCACTTTTTTACGTGGAAACCTGATTGAATGGTTTAATTGCTTAAATCCCAAAGCTACATGTATAGGAACTTGCCCTAACAAAGGAAGTACGGTCGATTTTTCCTTTCATGACAATTAATCTTTTTCAATAGCACTGGTAAAACTACCACATAATCTTTAAGGCCATAGAGACACTTTTTGCCCATTTTTTAAACGATATTTACAAGCTTTGAAAGGTTTAATTGAAGTATATGGTAAAAATATTTAATTTAGCCTTTATTTACATATTTTACACTATTTTTCTTTACAATATGGCAAATTTGTTTCTTAAAAAGCTGTACATCACATGTAGATTTTATTTTACATTTAACCTAATCTAAAATAGAAACTTAAAAAAAAATACAAGTACAGTCAGTAAAAAAAAAATTAATAAAACAAATGACTTCATTTTACTTGAGGTATTTGAAATATGACAACACTACATTTATCAAAGCAGTGCTTTAAGAGCCTTATTGTTAATTTTGATAAATAAACAATAAGTAACAACGGATTGCTTTGACCTGTAATGCTTTAAGACAGATCAGAATACAGCTAAATGTGTAAATCACACAAATACCTCATCCAGAAACATTTCCAGCATAATTCTTTTGTCGTAAAGAAAAAAAATAAAAAAATTCCACCTTTGCTAAAAGTAAGTTTCACATCACAACACTTAAGAAGACCATTAGCATTGTCATCGATCATGTATCAATCTATTTCTAAATACTTAATAACTTTGAATACTTTTGACTAAATTTAGTCAAGGAGCAAAGATAAATAATGTCTACTTTAATAGTGGAAAGATCGCGATTGTATTCAATCTGAGCACACGGGCGATCCTGAGAGGACTTGCAGTTCATTTGAAAAAAAAAAGCCTATTTAAAAGCTCACATATCTGTTTTAGCGATTTGCGTAAATGAATGCGCTGTCGTGTTAAAATAAAGCACTCGCCACATTTGTAGAAATGAGTTATTGCGCAATACCTCCATTCCCGCTCCACCATTCAGACTGTGTTTAGAGGAGTGACAGGTCAGAGGCGAGAGACTGGCTGACGGAGAGCGAAACGTGTTTGTAGATCATTAAAAAGGCAGGAAATATGTCCGCGGTTTAATTACTCTGCTAGACATCTCTATAGTGAAAACATCCGAGAAGCATTAATCCAACAAAACATTTGTTTTTAAGTTGTTTTTTCTGTCTCTGCAACACAGAAAGCATTTGTCCCGCCCTTACGTTTTACGCAACTAGACAAGGTCGACTGTGATTGGCCATTTTTCATGTCAGTCAAATCACGCTTCAGAATCAATTCTTAAACTTCGGGAAATGATTTATAACAGCTTATGACACAATGCACTAAAATAAACATTCTAAGCACAGCGTTGTGATCGTACGCTTCATAAAACAGCCAATGCTGATCACATCGATGTTATATTACGCATTAAAGGATTAAAAGTGTTAATTGTTTCTTTCATTGTTCAGCGGTTCCTCCGCGTACCACTAGGAGGAACCACAGTTTGAGAACCACTGGTCTAGATCATGTCCACATGCATAAATGCATTGAGTTGCTGCTATGTGATAGGCTGATGAGAAATTTGCGTTAACAAGCACTTGAAGAGGTGTACCCAATAAAGTGGCCAGTGAGTATATGAGTATATATATATATATATATATATATATATATATATATATATATATATATATATATATATATATATATATATATATTCCCCTAACATAAAAATTTGGGCTATTTTTTTGGACTGTTATTTTGTTAGATTAGCTCCCGATTTGTCTTCAGTATTGATTAATGCATATGTAATAATATTGTAACATGCGATACAGAAAATATTCATTTAAAAGAGATTTGTGAGGGTTGTACTCATATATGATCCTTGATAGATAGATAGATAGATAGATAGATAGATAGATAGATAGATAGATAGATAGATAAACAGATAGATAAACAGTAAGATGTTTGCAGTAACAAATAACGGTAACATTTTATTTTGATGGTCCATTTGAGTATTAGCAGACTGTCTGCTTAATATCTGTTGATACTTCTCCTTCAACACACATGTAAATGACTATAAGAAACTTTGCAAGAACATGTCAACTTACACCAACCCTAACCCCAACCTAACAGTTTACTTATAATCTAATGAGAATTAGTTGGCTTGTACATGTTAAAAATTAAAGTGTGACCCAAATAACTAATATAAATATATTATAAAAGGCAATATAATAACTAATATATCCTATTTGAAAAAGGATAAAATGCCTACATTAATATCTCTTTTTTTGTTATTTATAATAATAATAGTGATTTGGGGGTATAATTTGTGATTGCTAACATATTTTGCATTTATCTGTTCAAAAGTAAAGTAAAAAAATGTTTTATTCTTATCGTGATCAATGTTTTCTCATAAGAACAGAATTTATTTAGCATGTATTGTATTTTTTATATTTATTATTAATATAAATTCTGTAGTACTGTCACTTTTAAATCTTTTATATAGAGTAAATCCTGTATTATAGTGTGAACTCATTTTACAAACTCAGAACTTTTGAACATGACTGTATGCAATCGATTAGCAAAACAATGTCTGCCCTTTGCTTTTGCTTTGATGCTGTAAGATAGCGCCAAGCATAAATTCACAATGTTTCAAACAGCGCATTTGGACCAAACTCGTGATTAGTAAGCCCAATGCAGTAAATCCATCATAAACACCCCTACAGGCCGATTTCAGCATCACAGCCAGTCTTCATCCAAGCTACTGCCTCCATCTAGTGGGGAAAGCCACTCGCTGTCACAATGTGTACCACACATTTGCTCACACATTTATCCAATAGACATACAGTATTGCTCATTTTAGCTGTCACAAATGTTAAATGTTTAATTTATGATGATTGTTAATATAGCATCAAGCAGTATCATAATTAACAAAAGAAAATGATAAGTGTGTATACAATGATACATGTTAAACACACAAAACACACACACACACACATACAAAAGCTGAATACTACATTAAGGCAGCGAGTTGAAACAGCAGATGGTTTGTATATGTGTGTGTGGACCTCTTCATCTGCTTTAAATCGTCATCATCACGCTCGTGTCAGTGCTGACCGTCAGATGAGTAACAGTAGATCTGATTAGTCAGACAGTAGCGCGTGTTATCTTGAGAGAAGGGTTGCTCATCACTGGCACCACTGTCTGAGTCCTCCTCATGTTCCACATTGTGTCACTTCTTATGTAAGAACTGAGCTCGGTAGCAGGAAAGTGTTCTCCATATGGGTTTTTATGAAGAACTCGCTGCTTTTCAGATGTTAATGGTGATGAAGCACCACAGAATGCAGCCATGTACATTCTTATTGAATAAATGTGCACAGAAAATCTAACAATGACTTTCATGGTGATGCCATACTACGTCTGGTTTCTAGTCCAAATATCTTAAAAGGCTTAAATCGAGAGGCATTTTATAGATAAGCAAAATTAAATGTCTTGTTTTACGAAATAATGTCAAAATTAAGTGAGTTTTTTTTCCATAAACAAGCAAAATAATCTTGTCAAAAAGAGAAACAAGATTATTTTGCCTACCCATATATGAGTTTTGTGGTGGAAATGGGCTTATGTGAGTATCATGTTGAAAGCTGCATTCTCTAGTCATTTTAGACTAAATGAAGTAAGTGCTTATGCCAATCCCAAAAGCCGACAGTGTGCCACTGAAGCTCCTAAGACAGCTTTTGAGATAAAGTGTTTTGTGCAATACTGCTAGATTCTTCTTAGCCAATATACTTGAACTGTATTAAAATCAGTAAAATATGATTGAATGGTATTCAAAAGTGTAAAAACCTTGATCAAATCCTGCATCATGTTTGACTCTCTTGTGTTCTTGCAGAATCAGTTTTTAATCTTCTTGAAGACTTGAAATTGAAACTTAATCCCATTTTCCTCAATAATTTCATCGGGTACTCCGGGAAAGCTTATATAGAAAAACAAACAAACAAACAAAAGTCAATAAATCCATTCATGTCTAAAATGACATTAAAATGCAATTCAGTGGTGGACACTACTGAGCAGGGCCGGAGTGGGACTCCTTTTTAGCTCTGGAGTTTCAAACCTTAGACCGGCCCACCTCAGTCGACGACTGACAATATTAAAATAACGTAATTTCCAATTAAGTTTCAAATGACACAGCTGCTTTAGAACTTCAAATGTTTTTCATAAATATGAGAACATTAATTCTTTATAGATATCCAGTCCTTTGTAACAGTCGTCACACACACACACAAAAAATGTATTCCTACATAAGTAACCCAAACAGTATTTTATGTCTTAACACTGAAAAAAACATATTTTACTCTGGTGAGATTCGAACTCCGGTCGGCCGCGTCAATGCGTAACGTGCTAACCTCTAGACCATGGTGGCTCTGTGAAGAAATGTAAAGTTATCTGCCCCTATTGATGTCTACTCTTGGTTTTACCCTACTCTTCTTCTCCTCATTTTAGATTTCTGATCAAGTTATGTTAAGATTAAAAGTTAAGATTTATTAATGTAGTTAATCATCTGATTTTCATTGAGCAGGTGTAATATTCATTAATATTAATTAATATTCACTAAGGAGCCGCTGTTTGGGGTGGAATGGGGTGCAGCCCGCAGGTTAATGATGATCATCATTAACCTGCGGACTGCATTTAGCTCACGGGGCTGCGAGAAAATAAATAAAAAAGAGCGGAGCTGCGGCAAAATAATGATTAAAAAGAGTGAGGTTATAGTCAAATAAACAAATACATTTAAAAAGTGCAACTGCTGAGAGTGCAAGCAGCTAGGGACACTGGCCCTCGCGGCCAAAAAACGGACCGGCCCACCGGGAATTCTCCCGGTTCTCCCGATTAGCCAATCCGGGCCTGCTACTGAGTATTTTTACTTCACTACATAGTCATAGAACATGTTTCAAGTACTTTATTGCTGTATGTTTATCTTAGGAAGCTTTTACTTCACTCCAAAATAAAATCTTATTTTCATTTTATTACATTTTCTGAGTGAAGCCAAGTAAAAAGTTATTATGATGAGGAGAAATTATCACCTGCTCAGAGACCAGATAATGTTTAATTCATGAAAGAGCGGAATTTCATTTATTCATTTATTTTCCTTCGGCTTAGTCCATTTATTAATCTGGGGTTGCCACAGCGGAATGAACCGACAACTTATTTAGCATATTATTTACACAGCGGATGTTCATTCATTCATTTTCGTTTCGGCTTAGTCCCTTTATTAATCTGGGGTTGCCACAGTGGAATGAACCACCAACTTATCCAGCATATGTTTTACGCAGCGGATGCAATAGTATCTGGATGCAGGCTTTATGATGCAAGCTGAGATTGCATCACCTAGTGATGCAATGTCAGACTCAATGGAGTGAGTGACGTCACTGTAACGGTTAGGTGAGCGCATTAAAAAAGCATTGGATGCAGCTCAGAATGCACTGCACCAGGTCTGCATCCAGACCCCTCTCAGCGCATGCCCTTCCAGCTGCAACCCATCTCTGGGAAACATCCATACACACTTATTCACACTCATACACTATAGTCAATTTAGTCTACCCAATTCACCTGTACTGAATGTCTTTGGACTGTGGGGGAAACCAGAGCACCCGGAGAAAACCCATGCCAACACTGGAAGAACATGCGAACTCCATCTAAATGATTCAATGATTCAAATGATCTCTTCAGAGTGAGTTTTGAATAAATGATTCACTGATTCAAATGATCTGTTCAGAATGAGTGTCCAGTAAATGATTCACTGATTCAAATTAAATCGTCCCTTCACAGCGAGACTCTAGGACACCATTCACTGATTCAAATGATCTGTTCAGAATGAGTATTCAGTAAATCCTGCACTGATTCAGCAGTGAAAACTCTTTTTATTCTTCCTTTCTCTCTTTAAGATGTAACTTTATTACATTGTTATTTATGTTTGTTTGTTAATATATGTCTATGCCATTTTTAATTTACTCTTATTTGTCTCTATGTTTAGACAGATTTACTTGTGAGCCTACCTTCATCCACCACTGCATGAGATGCATAAAATGAAGTAGTCAGAGGATAATCCTACCTTTTTTGTTTCCTGAAAATGTTGGGGTCAAACTCTGGGAAAAAGACGTCACATTCAAAGTTGGCCATGATGTTGGTCAGATAGATGAGATCACACCAGGGATGCTCTAGACTTTCCTAAATAATATGGTCACGATATAAAATGAAGTACAGTGTTTGTTAATACCTATAAATGTCACAAACGATGAATCAGGAGTCTCACCTTATAGACTTCAGTGCCTCCTAAGATCCAGATGACCTCCACAGTGTGACATAAAGGAGGTTCAGAAACCAGGCGAATTATTGAGTCAAAGTCCTTACACAGATAGTGGGCATGCGGAGGCACTGAACTGAAGAGATACAGTTAAAGACAATGATTAGTCCTCCTGGGAGTTTTTTTTAATTCAAATATTTGTGCAATGTTTTAACAAGCAAGTTTTTTTTAGGTATATATGTATATATATATATATATATATATATATATATATATATATATATATATATATATATATATATATATATTAAGGGTGTCACGATCCACCAAATCCTTGATTCGATTACATTTTCGATTCTAAAGGCACGATTCGATTATGAATAATTAATTAATTAATGACCAATTAATTATTTGTAGCCTACCGTTTAAACTACCTGACCTGCATGGTCTTTGTTTTACCCATAAACAAATCATACAGTAAATGAATAAAGGCAAGATACACACATAATTACCACCTGTCAATCACTTTTTCTGTGGGACTCGGGAATAGGCAGTGATCTGTGTCATTATAATGGCGTCGGTAAAAAAGACGCACAACCAACAGAAACCAGCCAACAGTATCTGAGGTGTTCGCTAAAATGACTAAGTACAAGTGAGTGAAAGATTGAAGCAGTCCTCTGACTGCCTGGACCTGCTGTCTCGAGCGCAATACAGTGTGTGTGCGTCTGTGTGGTCACGTGATGTGCATTTTCAGAGGTAGAGAGGAAGGAGGGCTGCTCAGAAATGCTACACACCACTGTGGATGTCAAATCGTTGTCGTTCTAAAATGTCATTTAAAAACAAAGACAGTGTAAACAGGGCCTGAGTGTGTACTTTTCGCGAGCGGATTTGCAACGTGGGCGGTTGGAGGATCGCGATGCTGGTGTTGTCTATCAGACGAACCATACGTAATACGTACATAGCAGAGCTTGCAAAACTGTGTTTTTTTTGTCGACAACACGAACGTTGTCAACATAACTCACTGGAAATCCAAAATGCTTACACACCGGCGACTTCATTGAAAGAGGAGAGGGTTTAAGTTCTCTCGACGGGTCTCCTGCTTCTGCAGTTTAACAAGCACTTCAACAAGCCTGTTTTTTTCCCGCTTTGCAAGCCAAGCTGACGTGACATGGGGGCGTGGCAGCAAAGACGATTCTATTTTTTGATTTGATAATCGAAATTGAGCATAAATTTCGATCGATTCCTAATATATATATATATATATATATATATATATATATATATATATATATATATATATATATATATATATATATATAAATATATACTACCAGTCAAAAGTTTGGAGTAATTTTGTTTTAAATATTATGTGATTCTGTTCATCAAGGCAGCATTTATTAAATGTAAAAAAAATTCATTGTTAAATGTTTATAAAAAAAAATGTAAATATATCTGCTTTCTTATTGTGTGTAGTTTGAAATGAAATTATTACTCCAGTCATTATTGCTTTTATCACTATTAAAGTGATTTGTGAAGGATCATGTGACTGGGAAGACTGGAATAATGAAACTGAAAATTCATCTTTAAAATCACTGGAATAAATGAAATATTAAATGATAAACTACTTTTAAACAGTTTAGAGCAATAACATTTCACAATTTTACCATTTGTACTGTAGTTATGATTAAATAAATGCAGCCTTTCCCAGTGATGGGTTGCAGCTGGAAGGGCATCCGCTGCGTAAAACAAATGCTGGATAAGTTGGCAGTTCATTCCGCTGTGGCAACCCCAGGTTAATAAGGGGACTAAGCCAAAAAGTAAATGAATGGAGTGAATGAATAAATAAATACAGCCTTGGTGAGCAGGATAAGCTTATTTTAAACTTTTATATAAACTTTATATATGTATTTTCCTTCAACTTCCCATCAGGAGTCGCCACAGCCTAATGAACCACCAACTTATCCTGCATATGTTTTACACAGCGGATGCCCATCCAGCTGCAACCCAGTACTGGGAAACATCCATAAACACTCATTCACACACGTACACTATAGCCAATTGTAGTTAATCCAATTCACCTATACAGCATGTCTTTGGGGGAAACCGCAGCACCTGGAGGAAACCCACATGAACACAAGGAGAACACGCAAACAGAAATGCCAACTGAACCAGTCAGAACTCAAACCAGCGACATTCTTGCTGTGAGGCGACAGTGCTAACCACTGAGCCACCATGTCGCCCATTCCTGTTTAAAATTTTAATTTCAGCATCATTACTGCATGCATGACCCTTCAGAAATCATATGATGATCTGATGCAGAAACACTTATAAATTTTATGCAATTTCAAAAATATGTGGCATTTTTCAAGCTTATTTGATGAACTAAAAGATCTAAAGAGCAGTGTTTTATATAAAGCCTTTGTAACATAATAATTTTCACATTAATTAATTTATCACATACTCACTGAATACAAGTACCAATGTCTTTTCAAACAAACAAACAAATAAATAAATGAATGAATGGATGCTTACATCATTTTTCTGCTCAATACCAAATTTATGCAATTTGCCAAAGGAAAAACCGTCTCAGGACAGGAGAACCAGCAGATTCGGCCCCAGACAATCAGATTCTTCTTCCCTGATGTGCACCGGAAAAAAACCCTCAATTATTTTATTACTAAAATTAAATATTAAGATATGCTCTTTAATATACATCAAAACAAATTTAAAACCACTTACCGGGTGCCGACACGGCTGTTATTGTATCCAGTAAGAACTGAAATTCTTTTCTGCATTTAAACACATTAGACACAGATTGTGTAGTTTATGTATTTAGCACCGTACAACTTTAATAACTGCATAGTGTGCAAAATGCAATTTGAGCTGCATGACAAAAATCTTTGATGTGTTAATGGCGTGCCTAAATCAGCTTAATGTATTGATCCTATTTTTAATTTGTATGGATGAGCAGCTTTATGACAACATCATATTCTCTTCCAGAAAGATAAAGCAAATTCCTGTTGCCTATAACCCATATGCTATCGGACTGCACGTGCTGTTATCTCTTATCTCAATGGGCTGGCAGAGGGGGGCTCGACGTTTCCACAATTCACAAACCTGCTGACGCTCAGTTTGAGTTTTAAAGGTCAATGGCACATTCCAGCAATAGGATACAAAACTGGGGCAAAATAAATACTATTAATAAAAATATTAATAACAAATGACAAAAAAAGTACAAAACAGACTCAAAATATGCTATTGTGATCCTATGTGGATAACAAGACTATACAAACTGTTATTTTAAAGTTTGATATAACTTAATATTAGTAAAAACCCTGTTTTGTGTGATTGTGTTTAAGTTTTTTATGCAAATCCTGCCAAACATTGATAATATCCATACATATACACAAATACAAAATACATAATTTAATTTACAGAATTGTACACAATTGTACAACAACTTGTTACTTGGATTTTAAGTCCAAAAGGTCAAGAACTGAAGCAAGTCCTTATGCAAGTTTGCCTTGGTTTTATTGTACTAAACGCTTTGATTGATTATCATTTGTATAACCACAGTTTTACTACAAACTTGATGTTACATATCCATGGTGGACAATGTAGCAAAACTATAAATAATTTGTTATTACCACAAAACATGTTTTTTTTCTATTTTAGGTTTCTTTGAAGTTATTTTCGGAAGAAAGACAGGTAAGGTGATGCTTTTAGTGATTTAATAATCGTAAAACGTGCTGCTTTGCATGCTAGCCTAGCGTCATACTATACTGTATACCTAGCATACCGTAACTAAACCTGAAATTTATTCTATCTAAAAAAAGAAATATAGATGTTCAAGGCCGATTTATTTCGACAAATTGTTTGTCAGACGCTTGTATATGTGTCGAATTAATAAGTCATTGTACCCCCCAACATAATTTTCACCATACATAAGCATTGGCTAATCTGAATGAACACGGTAACTATTTCTTACGGAAGACACCAGGGAATCTGTCCGTCCTTCCCGATGCCCATATCCCTGCAGGCAGCTGCGATGAGCCGGATTGGCTTGCGCATCTCCTCCCCCTCGATGTTCATCATTTAGGTCTTTTCACCAACAGAGCGTTATCTGGTTTATTTAATAAACTACCGTCGTCCTGTAGGATTTGGATAAAGTGTTCGCATCTCTCTCGTCCTCAAACACAGACAGATTATGGAGCTTTTAAAACATCTGCTTGGGTCAACATGTGACATCCAATGGGAGTGGCGGTCTCAAATTAATAATGAACCAGACAAAAAAGAAAACAAACAAAAAGCTAATATGTCAGTTTCACTAGCTTATTTTTTTGCAAATAAAATTAAGTTGTTCACGATTATTTGGTGTCACATGGATTATTAACCATATAAATATGCCATTTTGAAAATGCTTTCAGCCTAATCTATCTATATGGATTTATTAGCCAATAGTCTTTAGTGGTGAGTACAGAGTGATCAAAAAGCAGCAGTATATGCACATGTTCAATGCTATGTAATAGTAATAATAATAATTTATGATATTTAAATGCTAATACAATAAAATTAATGCACTTCTTTTTCACTTTCTGTGCATTATAGAATCTTGAAATGTTAAAATAAGAAATAATGTATACTCAACGGCCACTTTATTAGGTAGACCTGAGCAACTGCTCCCTAACGCAAATTTCTAATCAGCCAACATGGTAGCAACTTAATGCATTTGGGCATTTATACATGGTCATTACGATCTGCTGCAGTTCAAACAGTTACAACCGAGGTATGCAGAAAAGCATCTCTCAATGCACAATACATCGAAACTTGAGGCAGATGGGCTACAGCAGCAAAAGACCACATGGAGTGCCACTCCTGTCAGCTAAGAACAGGAAACTGAGGCTACAATTCATACAGGCTCACCAAAATAGGACAATAGAAGATTGAAAAAAACGTTGCCTGGTCTGATGAGTCTCAATTTCTGCTGCAACATTCGGATGGTAGGAATTTGGCGTCAATAACATGAAAGCATGGTTCTATCCTGCCTTGTATCAACGGTTCAGGCTGGTAGTGGTGGTGTAATGGTGTGAGGGATATTTTCTTGGCACACTTTGGGCCCATTACTACCAATTGAGCATCATATTAATGCCACAGCCAACCTGAGTATTGTTGCTGGCCATGTCTATCCCTTTATGACCACAGTGTGCCCATCTTCTGATGGCTACTTCCAGCAGGATAACGCATCATGTCATAAAGCGCAAATCATCTCAGACTGGTTTCTTGAACATGACAATGAGTTCACTGTACTCAAATGGCCTCCACAGTGACCAGATCTCAATCCAATATGCTATCATGTCAATATGGACCAAAATATTTGAAGAATATTTCCAGTACCTTGTTAAATCTATGCCACGAAGGCAGTTCTGATAGCAAAAGGGGGTCCAACCCGGTACTTATATGGTGTACCTTATAAAGTGGCCGGTGAGTGTATATACAGTAGGTTGTTCTCACAGAATAAACAGTAAAATCAGCATTATTAATGGCATGTTGAATGTATATTATATTATCTAAAATTTATTCCCTTAAAGATGAATTTTCCAGTGCCATCATTCAAGCCTTCAGTGTTTTATTGTCTTTCATAAATCATTTTAGAATTAGCTTAAAATATCTAATGAGTAAGAGAAATGTACATCTCACGTCACAATCATATAACACTGAAGGGCTTTATTCTGTGAAAACAACCGCCAAAATGTACATTATTCCACTTATTACATGGCTACTTGTCACAAAATAAAGGCAGATTTGATTTATCCAGTACTTATATGTGACCTGCATGGAAAACCAGTCATGTGTATACTTTTTATTTATTTTTTTTAATTGAGATTTATACATAATTTAAAAGCTTAATATTTGTTAAGATTATTTAATGTATATTATACATTATTTAACCAATATATAACTATTTAAAGTTCAGTTTCAAGTTCAATTTATAGAGCACATTTAAAAAGACTGACCAAAATGCTCTGACAAAGTAAAATAAAAAGACAGATTATAAAAACATAAATAAGACAAGAGAAACGACTGAAAAAAAAGTATAAAGGACTATTAAAATAATAATAAACAGTCAAGCTAAACTGGTACGTTTTAAAAGTGATTTAAAAATAGATAATGATGGAACCATTTTAATCTCAAGGGGCAAGGTGTTCCATAACCGAGGACTCGCCACAGAGAAAGTTCTGTCCCCTCTACATTTCAATCTGGACTGAGGAATTAGATTTTGATCACTTGATCTAAGAGCTCTCACGGGAGTGTAAAAATGCAACAGCTCTGAGAGATAGGTTTGGGCTAGATTAAGGGATTTATATACCAGTAAAAGTACTTTAAAATCAATTCTGAATTGGACGGACAGCCAATGGAGACCCCCACAAGAGGGGTAATGTGGTCATGTTTTCTGCTATTACACATAAATCTCAACACAGCATTTTGGACCAGCTGAAAGCGAGAAATCTGAGATTTGAAGTGCATTTCAGTAGTCTAACTGTGACGTATTATAGAAAATCTGCTTTAAATTAGCCTAAATTAAGTTCTTAGGAATGCATACACTGTAACTAATTTAATTATTGTAGTTGTCTGACTACAAAATTCATGTAAAGAATATGCAATTCATACAAAATAAAACCGCAATATGATTAAATGTGTTCCAACTAAACAACACCGATCATAATTAACATCCCTTTAGTCAATAACACCATTTCAAGTGCATACACTGATGAACAGGTTATCAGTCACTGAAACCTAGTAAAGGGTCTATAATGTTTTAATGGTGATTTATAAAGAAGACATTACGGCAATCAAAAAATGTATTATCTCTCGTATAAAAAATATACAATGGCAAGTCTGTAAATGAGCAAGAAAAAAAGAAGTTATGTACAATGGTTTGCCAACTGTATTACTTACAATATAAGCATTAATATATACATAGTAGACCTTGAAACAAATCCAATTGTGCTTATAAGAGCCACAGGCCTCAATGATAAAATTACTCGCTTATAAAAAGCAAAACAAAAACTCTAAATATAACGTTTCTTGCTCTGGAATTTTAGTTTTTAAATTTTAATGCGTTTCTCTATAAATTAATATTGAACTTCAAATTATTTAATTAATCAAAGTGCTACTAAAGGTTTGAATTAATGGCTGATAAAGTCTTGCTTATCACTATTAAGATGTGAATTTCTCCATAAATCCCTCTTTTATTTTATAGAATTGTTTAAAACACAATTACTGCCAAAATAAAAGGCAAAACAATGCACATAATAGACATTAAATGGTATGCTAGACACATACGGCCACAAAGAGAAATGACATACAAGTTGTGGATTGTGTGAATAATACGACAAAGCGTTTTCCTCATCAACAAACAGCTTACATGATAAAATGCTGTAGTTACGTAGATTGTGTCACATCAACTGGCTTGGTTTACAGTTTCCTGGTCCACCACGCTTGACCTTGATGCTAACTCAAGCTAAACAAGCAGAATGACACGATGGCAAAGCATAAAGGGCACAGCGAAGCATGGAGAAGTGGATTAGCCATGCAGAGATGTCCTTTGTTCAGATTTGGTCTCATCACTAGTCTGAGGAAAGGTTTGTGTGTTTATTCTTGCTTCCTTGGTTAATTGCAGTCATTTCTCTGAATCTTTGATGGAAAATCTGTTGTTCGGTCTTCACCATGTCGCTTAAAAGCAGTCATTCCTCTTACTGCAGACAAAAACAGAGAGGTTATATTTTCTTTCTGACATTATTGTTCAAATGTCAGGTGCCGGTCAATCTAACTACAAGTGGAAGAATCTAAATGCATGTGTAAATGAAGTCTAAAAGGTTTTGAGCTTGTCAAATTTTGACCAGTTCCAAATATATTTGAAAATACATACAGTATAGTCAGATTGCCTTTAGAGTGTAAACAGCCACAGGTTAATATTGCAATTTTACCGACTGTATAATCTAACCAGTAAGTACTTGGACTAAATTGGAACAATTCATTTCGGTGTCACTTATATGCTTTGGCTGAAATCAGAGGAACACGAAGTAGAGAACTGGTACTTCTTAATATGAAGACATCAATAGGCTATATTTTAAATCAGTAAACCACGAGTAATCTAACTGTAATTTGTAATTAATAGCTAAACCTGCTTACAGTATGTGCCCAGCTTGAGTTTTGTAACTGTGCATTTGATGTATGAGCAGCTGACACATGTGCTCGGAATCATTTTTGCACTACTTAGTTTGTCTGAAAATGTCAGCACTTTATCAGGCCATTGTGTGGTTGACAGCAGCTACTGTACTTAAGAAATTTGACAGACATAAGCAGAGCTTGACATTAACACCTGCCAACCCGCCAAATGCTGGTAGATTTCAGTTGTGACGGGTTAGACAGTTGCTCCCACTAGCCTCTCTGACTGATTGCAAATAATTTCCAAATTGCCAGCGTTGGCTCGTAACAAAAAATTAGAAGTTTTTGTTGAATAAATTGTTTGTACGAAGCTATATTTTGACACATTATTTAAAATGTGTGGCAAGGAGATACTTCCAGAGAAATGGCAGAGAAAAAAATGGGTAAATCGTTACAGTGTTGAGCCCTGAAAAGTCATGTGAAATAAAAGCTAATTGCAATGCGACACTATGAAAACACAATCCACGCATATTGAGCAAAGTCACACACAACACACACACACACACACACACACACACACACACACACACACACACACACACACACACACACACACACACACACACACACACACACACACACACACACATACACACACATACACACACATACACACACATACACACACATACACACACACACACACACACACACACACACACACACAAAAAAACTAGAACTAGGAGGCATGTGGAAATAACACAAAGTTTAAATCAATTAATTTTAGCTTGTCAAATTCGAATTTATGCATATACAATACATTTTCCCAACAACAAAATTGTGGCTAGTGAAAGTGGCGAGTGTCTAGTAATGTTGAAAAACAAAATTCTAGCCAGAGTGGCTGGTGATCAAAAAAAGTTAATGTCAAGCCCTGGACATAAGTGTTATGAAAAAACACAGCACGGCAAGTTTTTTTTTTTTTTTTGTGAATTTCATATTAAATTATTTTTGCGTATTTTGTTCAATTACTATAATTTTTTGTAGACAGAAAAGTATACACTATACACTATGTACTTATGCACTTGCGCACTCAACAGCATAGTATATGCATGTAATGTTGTCCCAAATGGAAAGCGAATGTTTTTTACTAAGCGGAAATTCAAACCTTTTCCCTGATGACGTTTGACAGTTGGCAAATTAACGAAACTAATGACCAAACTACCAAATAATATCTGCCATGGGTATAACTGCATTCACCATCTAGAGGCACTGTAATCACTCTTGTAGGAGAATTTTGCTTTCACAATCCAAAATAAAGTTATCCAACATCAGTGTCCGAAAGCTCTGCCCCTTCCGCTACGTGAGCAAAGCAGTGGCTGTTAAGTGCATAAATTGTCTATCGTTTCACAGTTAATTTTAACCGCTGAATAAGTGCATCATCCGGGTAATTAAAGTGCACTTATTATTTTTAAGAGTTTTCAGTGTGAACGCACTACTTACACTTATTTATACTTCAAAATGGCAAAGAATAGTGCACAAGTATGCAATTTGGTTTAGGTACCAGTATCCATTTAGCACCTGCATCGTAAAAACTTAAACGATACCCAATTCTATTTGTAAGTTGCATAACATGAGTTTGTACATTTAATATTACTCTATAATCTTAATGAGTGGTCATTTTAACAGTGAGAAGTGTATAAAGGGTCTGAGGTGCCATTTACACTAATGGGTTTTTGTTTAAAAAAAATCACTTAGTCAAGGTTACACGTGGTGTACATTCTACTCTACATCTTTGACTCACAAAATTGAGTGTTTTAAATACACTGAAGACCCTGTTTTAGTTTGAAGATGCTGTTGTACTGTTTCTTTTGTACTATTGTGTAAAATTTCTAGGGATGCTCCGATCAGGATATTTACAGCCGATACCAAGTACTGATTCCTTATCATGGTGATTGGCTGATGCAGAGTACCGATTCTAAGGCTTCAAGCTTTATAATGCATTAAGCACAAGTATGAGATCAAGTATGAGATCAAGTGGCGATCTCTCCTTACCTAAGATAATAAATTATGGCTGTTGCATATAATCCCTTAAACACATCTCTTTTAACGAATAAGGTGTGAACATAACAAGACCAGAAGCAACTTTAAAGAAAATAATACAACACATATAAAAATTTGTAAGAAATATTATAAAAAATCTCTCCACTCATGTCACAGCTGCTCAAAACACAGTAAATACAACAAAAAGACCATTACTGACAGGAGTTGCACCACTATACAGTATAAACAGGTTGCACCGCATTTGTATATATTTTAACTGTTGTGATGTGAGCGCATTCGCTCATGCCTCCATAAGCATCATTAATTTGTGAATGCTGTAGGGTATGTATAATAAACAGGATCACAAGTGCGACTTGAAAACTTCTAAACAAACACCTGTGATCGGTTCAAGAGATTGCCTAGATTGGCGAGTACAGATTGAGTCATTAAATGTAATTATCAGCCGATATCGATCTTCAGCCAATCAATTAGAGCATCCTTAACATTTTCATGATTCGTCAATCCCCTTGATATGACCATTACACAACCGGTAGATGGCAAAAATAAATGTCAGCAAAATATGTGCATATCAAGTGAGGATGAATGGTCACTAAGTAGATGTTTTTGGGTGTATATGGTGGAAAGAGCTATTTTTTTCTGGTTTAAAAACACCAGTCTGGATGAGGAGCGTTTTCATCTTAAAAACATTCAGTAGTGTAAATGCAGCCTGAGATGGTGTGGAAAGAACTCACCTCTCTGTGTCTGTTTGTGAGCTTGTCCAACCATGCCAGCACCTGAGTAACCTAGATTGGAAAGAAAGACTTCTTGTTCAAGCAGCCGAAGGTCTATTTCACGCTTCACATGTAAGCAGCTTTCATTTACTTCAAAGCATCCTTTTAAATACACACCTGGCTGTGGCTGCACACTGTTGACAAGCTGTTGACCACATGACACTGCAAATGCTGGAAACTCTGATTGAGAACTTGCTGGTAAGGTGTGCACTGATAAAACATTAATAAAATTAACCAAACTGCCAATATAGATGATCAATACGTGCACGATATTACAAAATTTCGATCAATTAGAAAGAAAAAGCTAGCTGATAAAGTGCTTGTTTGTATACCTGTAATGTGAGTTCTCTCCTGTGTGTCTCCCGAGGAAGGACCTGCTCCATTACTATCTTCATTGTTGGCTGTGTTTGATGGAACAGTTGCAAGGAGCCCTGACATTACATAAAGATCCATTAAAACCCAAGATCTTACAGCTGGACAAATCAGTTCAAATATCTAGTTCAGTAATGTAAATCTAAATGGCACAGGCTGATGAAATATACAAGCTATCGTTTGGCAAGTTGACTGGCCTCTGCAGCCAATAATATTGCTTGCTGAACATTTAAAAAGTCTGGTTCAGTGTTTGATGTTGATTAAAACTGCAACATGCTATCAAAGTTTCTATGAAACCCTCCACCTACCCCAGCTCCACCTGTCTTTGATATTATTGTTTGGCTGCAGAAGCATATTGTACATGCTTACAGCAGTGTGTCTGTGTATCTAGTGGCAGTGGCAAGTCCATATTTCTGTAGAAATTCTGATACTTTAACATATTCACTAATATGTTTAAACCATTTTGAGGGCTGTTATGATTGATTTAGATTTCTAAGAGTTGAGGATTTGAAAAGTACACCATATTCTTACCAAGGCCCCGGTAGCAGGAGAGTTGCTGGTAAATCTGCTTCATTCGCTCAATGTTTATCCTGCTAGCCTCAGCGTGATTAACCATTGGTTTGGGGTAGTGCACTCCAATTATGCACTTGGCGACCTTCTGAACACTTTCTGGGGCATTCCAAGGGTCATAGATGAATTTGGCAGGGAAGCCCCTCAGTATGGGCAAATAGCGTCTGAAAAAATATTTTAAAAAATATGTTTTCAAAGAAAGGTGTAATATTGAATCCTTCAATTTATTCACAATATTGTCAATTTTAGTCAATACAAGCAGGGGTCTAGTAAGGCACCTTATATAGTCTCCATTAGGGTCAGTACGTCGACCGAAGCCCACTGGACAGTAACAGTGAAAGAACTGCTGGAAGAATGAGCTGCACGAAAGCCACATCCAGCTTCCTGCATTGACGCTCCAGTCTGCATCCAGCAACAACTCCTCAAACACCTTCATAGGGAAAACCAGCATAATATAATTTCAATATGCAGCCTTGGAAAATCTAGAAGACCATCTAAAAATTCAGTATCTCTGGATTTATAGTTATGTTTTTGAGCAGGGTTTCTAATGGCTTCACAAAGTCAAATTTAACAAATTTGACTTTTAAAAACCTTTTTAAGACCATCAAGAATTTAATTTCAGACCTATTTAGGGCTAAACATTAAGGATAATTTTTTGGTCCAGCAGAAAAAATAACAACATTCTAATTAGTTCTTAGCCACAAATTTTACATAATGTCAAAACAAGCAGACTCGAGTTGTATACATTCTTTTTTTTAACATAACTTTATACAGATCTTTTTATTTATTTAAAAGTTTTTTTGAGATGTATTGTTGGTAATTTGATGCTAGATAGCTTTACATACAGAAAATTTAGGACCAGTTAAAATTGATTTAAGACCAACTGTACAAGGCAATATTTCAATAAATTCAAGACTTTTTATGGTTTAAAATTTAGTTTTTGAAATTTAAGACTTTTTTTTAACTTTAAGACCCCATGGACCCTATTTACCCTGTTGAGTAAAGCACACCTTTTTTATTCTATAAACTGCTGATGATATTTCTTCCCAATTTAAAATAAAAAAATGGTCAATTAGAGCATTTATTTTCAATCAAATAACTTAAATTCAAAAAGTGCAATGTTTTAGGCTTAATTTTTAAGCAATGCAATTTCAATGTTTTAATTTATGAAAAATTAAGAAAATAATATATGGTGAAATAACCCTGTTTTGGTAAAAACATTTGTTATTTTGAGCAATTATGTTTTTCTTTATAAAAGCTCTCTCACTAAAATACACAACTTTTTGTTCAATTTGGAAGAAATGCTATTGAATAAAACAAATATTAACATTTAACTCAAACTCATACATAATATCTCAAGAGAAACAGAATATTCAAGTAGTCTTTTCTTCCTATAGCTATCATTACAGAACAATATGCAAATCCAGAATACTGATTGCAGTACCTTCATGCCCTCTTCCCAGCTGATCCACAGGTCTCCACGTGTGAGGAAGCAAGCAACTGCATGCCTGGCCAGATGGTGGATCCATCCCTCCTGCCTCAACTGGGTCATTATTGCATCAATCCACGGGAAACCGGTCTGACCTTCGGCCCACTTGGCCAGAGCCTCTGGGTTCCTGTCCCATGGAATCTGCACGCAGATGGGATTGAACTCCATTTTGTCAAAATGTGGGTTGTTAGTCGCAGCTGTGTAGAAGAACTCGCGCCACAGCAGCTGGCCATAAAGAGACAGAGACGGGGTGCTGTTCTTCTTTACCTGAGATCGAAAAGGCGGGAAAAACTTTTATACTTTCAAACTTTCAAAGGCGGGAACAACCTATCATATATTGCTTTGATTAACAAGTCAAAACAAGGTCATCTTTACCTTCCTGTAGAGGTCTGTTAGTTTGAAATAGAAAAGTCTACAGGAGAGGCAGCCAAACCGCAGGTAAGGGCTCAGGCCTGTGGGACTGGCCAGCAAAGAATTAGCGTTCATTCTGGGGCGTTCAAAATTAGCCACCCAAGCCTGCAAAAACAAGCAGAAACAATAAGTAATAGTTCATAGAAAGAAACAACATGCACTCATTGGTATTTCAGGTGACTGTGTAGGTTGAGTATAGCAAACTCATGGTCACATTTAAGAAACCACTTTAAAATTATTCGAGCTTTGTTATCCTGAAGTAACCATTACAAGATGGGTCCAACTATAATGACATTGGATGGGCACGGTCACAAACTTACATTTACATGCACAAAGTGTGCAATATATTTAATTATAATATGTATAGTTAAACATACGCTTATAATAGTAATCATCACAATATTGGCCTAAGCTGAAAAACTGGTATTATAACAAAACATTGTTTGCTTTAAAGTATATAACTGATCAGAGAAAAACAATGTAACACAAGTGTTATTAGTAAATGATAATGGATTAAAATTACAATTGACTTTTTATTAATCATCATAATCTAGATTCAATAAAAGGACTACAACTATGATTTAAATGTGTTATCAGGCATCACCTAAGAAATTAACATTCCCTAAGATTGATAAAACTTATCATTGTTTAGGTAGTGCACAATGTTAACTGTAATTTATAGAGCCCTATAAATAATATTTTAATCAATTTTTCAGTATGTAGTAGATCAGATTAGCATATGAAAATATTCATGTTTGAGCTATTAAACTAATCAATTAAATCTCCCAGCATTTGATGACACTCTTAGGGTTAAAAACACTGCAAATACAATGTGAATATGCTTAAAAAAATAAATATGTCAATAATTATTGACAGATTTTTAAGTGCCCACAATATCAATATGGTGCCTGTTCATTATCATGATATATTAAACATTATAATATATCTAGTTAAATACAATGTAAAAATACATACTTCAAGAACGTAATGTAATAGAGTACTTGTTTACCTTCCTCTCCAGGTGTCTCTCTAATCGAGTCAGAGCTTCAGTCTCTCCCCCGGGCCACACAGCAGTGGACAGTCCCTCTGTTTCAAAACCTGAAGACACGTATCCTCATTTACAATCGCAGTTCAAAGACATGCACACATATGCTAAGTGAGGGAACATGGGTGTCTCACCGAGCTCCTCCAGAGACGGTACACCAAACTTGTCATCATGATCATCACTGACCGGTGTGGAGCATTTGCCCATAATCTCAGCTGTGATTGTCTCTGCTGGCATCTCCACAGGATCCATTCGACTGATAAGTGTTTGAAATCGCTTATAGGTGAGGGGAGACTGGCCTCCGTTGAACTCAATGATCCTAGAGAGGTGAAAAAGTACATTTTTTCAAGACTTTTTTGGCATTTACAAAAGCGAAAACATTTCATAAAATTTAAAACATTTCATATTAATATAAAATGTGTTAAAGAATACTTTGCTTCATGTTTCATCAATGAAATAAAGTAAATATAAAATAAATACTTTACAATACTACTTAAAAGTAAACAAATTCACTAGTTTTTCAGATATCAGCTGAATTATTAAATATTTGCTTGAAAATATGCGAAAACAAAATCTAAACTTATAAAACACATTAGTAATGTAACAATTTAAGTGATTTTGAAAAATATTCATGATAATACAATACTGTTAATACAATTTTATCATATTATTAAGTGATTACAATATTATTAATATTAACAAATTATACATTTTAATATAAGTTCTATTATAAAAGAGTCTTCCGCAAATTATATATTTGATCCAATATTAAAATAGATGTTCATATTTTATATAAGTAGAATAGTGTTAATTACAATTACAAGTAATTTTATAATATTTTAGTATTATATAAATTTAAACAACAAAAAATGTTTAAACAATGTTTAAAATATTATATACAGGGTTCATACCCTCATAAAATTCCATGACTTTTCCATGATTTTCCCAAGACTTTCAAGTAAATCAAGTTTCATGATCTAATGTTATATGCAATGTCTACGTATGCATGGTAAAAACAATACGTTCAAATTTATTACAGCATCTCGTAAACAGGAAACAATCTATTAAGTTTCTATTTATATTCATTAATTCATTCAATCCATTTTCTTTTCAGCTTAGTCTCTTTATTAATCTGGGGTCGGCAGCTGTAACCCATCACTGGGAAACTTCGATACACACTTATTCAAACTCATATACTATGGACAATTTTAGCTTACCCAATTCCCCTATAGTGCATGTCTTTGGACTGTTGGGAAAACCGGAGCACCCGGAGGAAACCCAAGCCAACATGGGGAAAACATGCAAACGTCAACTAACCCAGCCAAAGCTCGAACCAGCAACCATCTTGCTGTGAGGCAATTGTGAATCGCTGAACGGTTCATACGTAAGACGCTTTGATAATTAGGTAAAAATAAATTCATATTATAAGACCATGAAAGTGTTTTTTGACCTTGCATGCATATCAGTATGTTTTAGAGTCCCTAAAACCGATTTATATTACAAAATACAACATTACAATTTAGCCAATCTGTATTCAAACTAAAATTACTGTATTATTTTTGATTATTAGAATATTTAGTATTTTGAATGCCATTCAAGATTCTTATTCAACAGATTAATACAACTCTGTTTATTTGGAATGACTTAATATCTGCCTATGTGTCCTGTATTTCTCACTAAAGAGTTAAATATCAAGCACGATTGCGAACTGCCTCCCACAGGACTGCTGGCATCTATGTGGGAGTCATTTGGGCATGTGGCACTGATTCCAGATCCACTCACTTGTCCAGATCATAGAGTGTGTGGGAGATCCTGACGAACACTTCCACCCCTGCCTCAGTGGCTAGTTTCCTAATAGCTGCATCACGATCCTTCCCGAAGGGCTCTGAGTCGTACTCGTATGACAGCCGGCTGATTTTCCACTCCTAGAGATAGAGAGAGAGAGAGAAAAAGAAAGAGAGATAGAGCGAGAGTCAGAAATGGGACACAGCATAAATACACTTACACAGCACGGCATGTACTGGCTAAGAGTTTCCAGGGGGTCTGTTCGCTGACCTTGAATAGTCTTGGAAAGACGTCTGTAGGTTGTCCTCTGATTACAAAGAGCCGAGAGTTTAGTTTGCGAAGGCTGGCATCCAAGTCTTCGAGACACTGCAGCAAAAAC